CATTCCAGGAAGTAAAGATTATGTTCTTAAGCATGATTGTTCGTAGTTAAAAGTGATTAATTACCCGCCTGGCAGTTAAGAGGTTTTATTCCCTCCCTAACTTCAGGGGAAAAATCCCTATCTGGGGAAACAACCTTTCTCGGAGAGGTGACCTTGGTTAAAACACATAGTGCCAAGAAGGTGAGCAAATATATTAAGAACAGTATGCCATATATGCCAGGTCCCTTGAAACAGCAAGGATGGACTGGCTCCCGGCAGTTCAGGAGGAATTTTTCTCTCTGACAGGATCAATATCTATGGGGCTTGGCAACCGGTTCCCTCTCACTCACAGCACCTCAATTCCGAGGGCACAGCTTACATCCCAGACTGACAGCCGCTGACCTGTTTCAGCAAGAGGAGCCCGTCCCTGAGCCCTGTGTATCCAGGGGGCTACAGCCCTCCACACCTAGTCAGACGGTCCTCAGATCGTTGCTGTGCCTCCTTTGTCAAGGACCTGAGGTCCTGTACAGGGACACAGGTCCCCGGGAACTGCCTGAACAGGTGTGAAGTGCCACGGCCCCTTTATAAAAGCTCTCTGTGGTGGTGTGGGGCCAGCCTGTCCCTGGACTTTGGACATATTTCCAGGTTGTAATGATAGAAAGCATAGGTAAGTTGTCTTTCTTCCATCAGTTCAATGCCAGAGCGAGCCTTTTGTGCCAGATGGGGTCAATGGAACCGAAGACAAATTCCCCAAAGTCCAAATATTGAGTCCTCAGTTCTGCGCCCCCTCCATGTTAAACACCCTCTTTTTTTATGAACACGCAAAGTTTCTTAATCTGATCACTACCCCAGCATGCGCTAGCCAAGCCACCTGGCCACGACAGCCCCGTTTTCCTCTATCTTTCTATCCTGATTTCTATTCTGACTGATCCTCGGGCCACCTTTCATTCCCTCCTGCCTGTCACTATGGTGACCTACGCCCTACCCAGCCAGCTTCTCCTCAGTGTTTCCAATCAGTCCGGCCCACCCCCCTGGGCACGGAGCAGCATCGACAGCCTCGGGGTTCTATTTCTGACCCTGTTGGGAGGAAACAGAGGGAGGGCTTGTGGGACAGTGGTATAGAGTCCACAGTGGTGTCAGTCGTGTCCTAGGCCTTCACATTCACTCACCACTGACTCACTGACTCACCCAGAGCAACATTGAGTCCTGCAAGCTCCATGCATGGGAAGTATCCTGTGCAGGTACACCATTTTATAAAAAATAGCTTTTTATTTCCCAGTTACAGTTGACATGCACTATTATATTAGTGTCAGGTGTATAACCCAGTGATCGGACATTATATAACTTACTACGTGGTCACCCCAATCAGTTGCGTACCCACCTGACGCCACACATAGTTCTGTTTCAGTGTTATTGCCCGTGTTCCCTGGGCTGTGCTCTACATCCTGCGACTGTTCTGTAACTACCAATTCCTACTTCTCAATCCCTTCACCTTTTTCACCCATTCTCCCAGCTTTCCCCCAGTCCCCTAACCCCCTCCCCATTTTTTAAAATCTTTTATGCCACATTTTACTGTGCCTTCTCTATGTTTAGACACACAGATACTATCATTATGTTACAGCTGTCCGCAGTAGTCAGTACTGTAACATGCTATACAGGCTTGTAGCCCAGGAGCAATAAGCTACATACACCATATGGCCTGGGTGTGGAGTGGGCTGTACCACCTCGGTGTGTGTAAGTGCACTCAGAGATGTTCATACAATGGCGAAACCACCTGAGAACCCATTTCTCAGACCGTATCCCTGTAGCCAAGTGACGCATGACAGCTTAGCATTAAGGTCAGTCTGGTAAATATCATCACCCTCAGTGTGCCTGGCAATGAGGAGTGGGGAACAGCCAAGAAATAACGCAAATGCACTACAGCCTGGAGAATGTGTACTTTAAGTATGTATCCTCATTCTGCCTCTTAAGGTAGAACTGGACATAAAACGCACACAAAGCCCTTTGAAAACAGTGTCAGTTACTGTACAAAGGAGTGTCTATCATTTCCTTCTGAGATCTCTATTCTAACAAATATGGCAGCTTGGGACCAGCGACCAGACAGACGTAGAAGGTCTAAGCCTTCACGAGTGGACTTTTTCGGGCTCCCTGGTTACGAAGTAGGAAACCCACCTCCGTGCTGCTGACTTAGGCCAGGAAGAAGGCTCTGACCTGAATTCCCCCCGGGCTCGCGTCACGTCCCACATTGAAGGAGATGATTGGAAAATTGGAGAGTGCTACATAATTAACAGTGGTCAAGTCCGTGTGCCCTTTTATGTAATTTATGAAATTCAGTTTATTCAGTAAACTTAATCTTGAAAAAAAAAGTATAGAATACCTCCAAATATATACAGGAAGCCTCTATTTTAGATTGGTTTTTCAATACAAGATGGCTATTTCAACCTTGTCCCCTAGTTGCTTTTATTGAAAAAAAATCTTTTGTTCATTTCTATCAGATCATGTAAAACATTTTTCATGTCTCCCCTCATTTAAAAATATTCTGCCTTAACCGATTCAGTTCGGTAAAGCTTTGTAACCACAGTAGCAACCTAACCTCATCTAACGCCCCCTCTCTCTCCAGCTCTTGTATTTTCCCACCCTATCAGTGCTAATACTCATGCGGGTCATCAGAGAAAACCAGGATTCCCACTAAACTTAATGAACACCTTTGAAAGCTCTTTACCTGCTATGGCTAATCCTTTGAAGCTTGGCCAGATTAATAGGGTTTTGTCTTAGTCCGTTTGGGCTGCTGTAACAAAAGGCCATAGACTCGCTGGCTTTGATGACAGACATTAGTTTCTCACAATTCTGGAGGCTGGGAAGTAGGTCCAAGTTCAAGGCACCCACACATTTGCTGTCTAGTGAGGACCCTCTTCCTCACATTACAGAGAGAGGGCTCTGGTCTCTTCGCCTAATGCAGTGATTCTCAACCTTCCTGATGCCGCGACCCTTTCATACAGTTCCTCATGTTGTGGTGACCCCCAACCATAAAATTATTTCCGTTGCTACTTCATAACTGTAATGTTGCTACTGTTATGAATCGTAATGTAAATACCTGATATGCAGGATGTATTTTCATTGTTACAAATTGAACATAATGAAAGCATAGTGATTAATCACAGAAACAATATGTAATTATATATGTGTTTTCCGATGGTCTTAGGAGACCCCTGTGAAAGGGTGGTTCGACCCCCCAAAGGGGTCGCGACCCACAGGTTGAGAACTGCTGCCCTAATGTCACATCCTGAGGGCTCCATCCTCATGATCTCCCCTAAACCTAAGGCCCCACCTCCTAATACCATCATGTTGGGGTTTGGGGCTTGACTCTATGAATCATGGGGGGACATAGCAGACTAAAACATCAGGAATCACATTTCAATAGCATGGATGGACCTGGAGAGGATTATGCTAAGCGAAATAAGCCAGTCAGAGAAATAGGAGTAGCACATGATCTCATTCATATAGGAATCTAATGAACAAAATAGATCCAGAGACAGAAGCATGGAGCAGACTGTGGAATCTCGGAGGGAAGGTGGGGAGGGAGGGTGGGAAGAGATCAACCAAAGAACCTGTATGCATGTGTGCATAACCCACGGGCACAGGCAACAGGGTGGTGAAGGCCTGGGGTAGGGGGTGAGGTCGGGCTAGACAAGGTCAGTGGGGGAAGAAAGGGAACATAGGTAATACTTTCAACAATAGCGATTTTTAAAATAAATAAGTAATAAAAAATCAGGAACCCACCACATGCTTCCTCTCCCTTCTCACGAGTGTGTTCCCTCGCTCTCAGGTGTCCCCACCCCCAGCCAGGAGATCCTGCGGCACACCCTCAACACGCTGGTGCGGGAGCGGAAGATCTACCCGACCCCCGAGGGCTACTTCATCGTGACCCCGCAGACGTACTTCATCACTCCGTCCCTCATAAGGACTAACAGCAAGTGGTACCACTTGGACGAGCGGATACCCGACCGGTCTCAGTGCACCTCTCCCCAGCCCGGAACCATCACGCCCTCTGCCTCAGGCTGCGTCAGGGAAAGGACCTTGCCCAGAAACCACTGCGACTCTTGCCACTGCTGCCGGGAGGACATGCACAGCATGCACGCGTCCACCCTGCAGCGGAAGCCCGCCAAGGACTGCAAAGACCCGTACTGCCCGCCCTCCCTCTGCCAGGTGCCACCCACCGAGAAGAGCAAAAGTACCGTCAACTTCTCCTACAAGACGGAAACCCTCTCCAAGCCCAAAGACGGGGAAAAGCAGTCCAAGAAGTTTGGGCTCAAGCTCTTCCGGCTGAGTTTTAAAAAAGACAAGACCAAGCAGCTGGCCAACTTCTCCGCCCAGTTCCCTCCCGAGGAGTGGCCGCTGCGCGACGAGGACACGCCCACGACCATCCCCCGGGAGGTGGAGATGGAGATCATCCGGCGCATCAACCCCGACCTGACGGTGGAGAACGTCATGCGGCACACGGCGCTGATGAAGAAGCTGGAGGAGGAGAAGGCGCATCGGAGCAAAGCGGGCTCCTCCGCCCATCACAGCGGGAGGAGTAAAAAGAGCCGGACCCATCGGAAGTCGCACGGCAAGTCGCGCTCACACAGCAAGACGCGCGCGTCTAAAGGAGACCCGTCCGACGGCTCTCACCTGGACGTCCCCGGGGAGCGGGAGTACGACTTCTGCGACCCCCTGACCAGGGTGCCCAGGGAGGGCTGCTTCATCATCGAGCACAAAGGCGAGAACTTCATCATGCACAGCAACCCCAGCGTGCTGGAGCCCCACTTCCCCATGACGCCGGAGTGGGACGTGTCGGGGGAACTGGCCAAAAGGAGGACTGAGATGCCCTTTCCCGAACCTTCCAGGGGCAGCTCCCACTCGAAAGTGCACCGAAGCCACAGCCATACCCAGGACCGACGGTCCAGGAACGAGAGGTCCAGCAAAGCCAAGGAGAGGTCCAGGTCCATGGACAATTCCAAGGGTCCCCTGGGCGCGTCCTCTCTGGGGACGCCTGATGACCTGGCCGAAGGCTGCAGCCAGGAGGACCCAACCCCCATCCAGCCCTACATTGACGACAGCACGCTAAGGCCCGCCCCGACGGCCGCTCATCAAAGGGCTCACCTTCTGTCCCCGAGCTATAAAGAGGTGTGTATTCCGGAAATAGTCGGCGGCAGCAAGGAGCCGTCCAGCACGTGCAGCCTCCTGGAGCCAGGCAAACCCCCCGAGAGTTTGCCGTCCTTCGGTGACCTCAATTCTTGTCCAACGAAAACAGCCACGGACGACTATTTCCAGTGCAACACGTCCAGCGAGACGGTGCTCACGGCGCCATCGCCTCTGGGAAAGAATAAAGAGGACCAGGACCCTCTGGCCCTGGCCGAAGGGGTGAAGAAGCTGCCTCTGTCGGACAGGCAGACCCCGCTTTCCTCCAGGGAGCCGGGAGGACACAAGGAGGAGTCGCCCACAGGGCCAGGCGGGGGCCCGGCTGCTCCGGGCGCGGCGGCGGAAGGGATGGCCAATGGACGCCTCATCCAGCATCACGGCGCCGAGCCCAGCAGCCTGGACAAGAGGAAAGAGATATTCAGCAAAGACACACTGTTCAAACCTCTGCACAGCACCTTGTCTGTAAACAGCTACCACAAACCCAGCCTGTCCCTCCTCAAAGCGCACCCGAAGGCACCTGCGGACACGCTGGCGGGCCGATGCGAGAAGCTGGAGCCGGCCCTGGGCCCCGCGGCCGCGCAGGTCCTGCCGGCCCTCCAGCGCCAGCAGGAGCCGGGGGGCAACCAGGAAGCCTCTTTCGACTATTACAACGTGTCTGATGACGACGACTCGGAGGAGGGGGCCGCCAAGACCACCGAGGAGGAGAAGAACCGAGACGATGTGGGCACCATGCAGTGGCTCCTTGAAAGGGAGAAGGAGCGAGACCTGCAGAGGAAATTCGAGAAGAACCTCACCCTCCTCGCCCCCAAAGACACGGACAGCAGCGGCCACCAGAGGACCACCCACTCGGCACGCCTGGACAGCATGGACAGCAGCAGCATCACGGTGGACAGTGGATTCAACTCCCCACGGTAGGGAGAGGCGCTGTGCGCGCACACACAGCCGCCGGGCCGGGCTGGGTGCAGACACCTGGGGAAGGCGTCCGGTTGCACAGCTCAGCTCTGTGACGAGGGTTCGGGTGGGTGCGCTGTGTGGTTAACTGCCTGTCTCTGGCTTCTTTTGCAGGACTTGACACCAGTGTTTCTGCAGCTGTAGAGAGCGCCAATCTGGATGGGTGGGTTGGCTGCCCCCCTCACACTTGCCTCAGTCCAATCTAAGACCAACATTCCCAGTATTTTTTCTTCAATGTTTCCATTGCCCCCGTGCTGGTAAAGAAAGGGTGTTTGTTTTTTTAAGTGCTTCAAAGGTTGAGCACAATGAGTAGTTAGTAGGGGTTGGGAATCAATTGATTGGCTCAAGGACAAGAGTCCCTCTAGTGAGAATATACACTTGACTCTTGAACAACCTGGGTTTGGACTGCCCGGGTCAATTAGGGGCCGCTTTTTTCTTTTTTAAAATATATTTTTATGCATTCCAGAGAGAAAGTGAGAGGGCGAGAGAGACAGAAACATCAGTGATGAAAGAGAATCATTGATTGGCTGCCTTCTGCATGCCCCACACTGGGGATTGAGCCCGCAACCCAGGCATGTGTCCTGACCAGGAATCGAACTGTAGACCTCCTGGTTCATGGGTTGATAACCACTGAGCCACACCAGCTGGACAAGGGTAGATTTTTTTTCAATAAATACTGTAAATGTATTTTCTCTTCCTTATGACGTTCTTCATGACATTTTCTGTAGCTGACTTTACTGTAAGAGTACAGTACATAATACATATAACATACAAATAAGTGTTAACTGGCTGTGTTACCAGTAATGTTTACAGTTAACAGTAGGCTATTAGTAGTTAAGTTTTAGGGGAGTCAAAAGTTACACACATATTTTTGACTGTGCAGGTGGGGGAAGGTCAGCACCCCTAACCACTGCATTGTTCAAGGGTCAACTGTAAAAGCAGGTCTCAAAACCTTTCCAGTGGATGTAGAAGCTTGTTGCCATGGTAACCAGCTGCCTGGTGGCCCTCTCCACCTTCCTCATGCAGCTTCCTCTCACCACTCATGTGCCCACAAAGAAATGGACCTTGTTCCTCCCGCAGAAAGATTGGGGGACTCTGCTCTCTTAGATCAAAGCACGTGCCAGCACTAGGGCCCTCTAGTCACAGTCCCTTGTTCTCAGTAGGTGCTGGCGACTCGGCGAAGGCTGGGCAGTTGGGAGTATGTAACGCTCAGTGGTCACATCCAGTGCATTGAAGTGGTTCGGGGGTTCAGAAAGCAAGAGAGTCTACGCAACTTCCTTTTTTCCTGCTTAACTCTCCCTTCTCCTCAAAGAGCAACTCGGGACCTCATTCTCCTAAATTCTACTCCAGATTGGTGACTCTGAGATGCAGAAATACGATGAGAGATGGACATTTCTCACTAGCTGTGATTCCCAAGATTTTATAATATTTATCATTTTAACAAGTATCCAGATATGGTTCTTTTCATTATGAACAATGATAATTAGTCCTATTGTGATCATTTCACTGTATCTCTGGGTAATCTGGGGACAGACCATCCCAAAATTAGAATTGGGAATCGTTCATCTGTTTGTCACATATTAGGCTGTTGTTTTTTCTTAAAGGATTAGTTCTTGATTATTATTATTATCATCATTATTGTCATGTAACCTTCTTTCCAAGTTAACCCGTGTGGCAGTCCAGTATCTAAACAGACCACAGAGCTGGCACTCTTGTTGAAGTGGTGAGAGACCAGGGGTCCCAGGTCTCCGCTGCCGTCCCTTGAAGAGCCCTAAGGGACCTCAAGGAGCTTGGCACTCAGTCTGAAAACGACTGGCCTATTAAGTGACTTTTCTACGTAATAACTTTTGCTCACTATTTTCCAAATCAAATCTTATTTACCAGTTATTTTGTACATTTTTTTTCTTTCTATTTCTTTCTTCTACTCTCTTTTCTCCTCTTGAATTTCTAGCAGTGGGTACCACGCAGGCATAATTGAAGGTCTGTAATGGATGGTTGAAGTTCAAGACCATCACGTACGGAAGGTGTGGTTTCCTGGCCTGTACCTTACGTTCCGCTCTTTCTTATTAAGACTCTACCCACCTGATGCTTTTCACACAGCAGTTTCCAACCTTTCACGTTGCCTCTTGATCCCTGGACCTCCACTGAGGGAGAGTGTCAGACCTCCAGAGATACTAAAGGAGACGTTGCGAGTAGCTTAATGGTTCTAACTCAAGAATTTATGAATGAGATTATTTCTTGAAATAAGTTCATTTGCATTTCTCTAAGTGCTTGTCATGGTAGAGGGTAAAGGTTGCTCTGAGGAGACAATTTTCACAAATTAGCTCTGTGTCTGTCCGTTGTTACTGGGTAGAATTCTCTCTGTAGGGACATGTAGCTCACCCAGAAGTTTTGTGCAGTTTGCACGTAGCGGTTCCTTCTTGAATCCCTTTCATATTTCATACGCATTGGTTACAGGCTAGATGACAAACTGGTTTTCTACACCCATTTTTAAACTGTATTTTCTGTACACCTCAGTAAATTCACTGAGCTGCCTTTCTAACGAATGCGTGAGGATAGCCTACAAAGGAGAATATTTGAGTTATCGGGAGTTTTACTCGCTAGCGTGAGGAGTACTTTAGCCAAATAGCATTATCATACTGACACCTCCCCAGTGTTGTGAGATACAGAAATCTTAAGTGGGCCATGTTTTGGGTCTTTCAGTAAATAATCCACTGAGCAACTGAGATTCAACTAAAAAACAAATTTTAAAAAAAACACAAAAATGGTGATTGCCACATTCAGCTTTCAATCACAGTTCAGCCACATTCCCAGAATTCCTCAGTCCGTTTTCTTAGAAACTTAAAAGGGATTGAGAAGGAAAAAAACATAGAAACTTAAGCTATGCCTTAGATCTAATATTGAAAAGGACATTTTTTGACATGAAAAGTCTACTGTTCTAAATCTGAGCCCCAACCTGGTGGATAAACATAATGTGAAAATCAGAGGCTGCCAGGGATGTGTCTGTCTAATGTACCATGTGCCGGGTGCCGGGTGCCGTGTGCCGGTGCTGCACGTGTTCCAGGAGGGCGGACGACAGAGCAGAGCGGCTGGGCTCAAGTCTTCTGCCTCTAAACCCGGAGACCTCAAGGCGGCACCATTAATTCTCTTATTCAAAAAGAGCGTTTACATTTGAGGGATATTTTTTACTGATAATGCTCCATCTTCATGAACTTGTTCATCATCATATCCTGAGCCCTCGATAGGAATGCCACACACAGGATGCCTCGTTCTAACAGCAGCAATGAAAGGTCTCCTTTGGGGAAACTGGAGGACGGCATGTATGTATCAGAATTAGTCGGTTGACCGTGGCAAAGAGGCATCTTGGAGCACAGACAGCTACCAAGATGGTAGGCAGCCCGTCGCAGTGAGGTGTGTTTGCAGTGCCCGGCACTGTGCCTGGCCTACAGCGGGTACATGTTAAGCCCATGCCTTAAAAGCTGGTTTAAAAGTGGGGTTTTTGGAACTTTAAGTGTATTTCCTCATAGAAAAGGACCCCCATGGATTCCCAAACCAACTCACACAGTAGCTACTTTATGCATTACATGCCAGATGCAGAACAGAAATCATTTACACTTGTCTAGTTTTGCAGTGTGCAAATTCTTCACCGACGCCTGATTCCTCGTGGTCGCTCTGTAAGAAGGTAAATCACGTAACTCTCCCTGTGTTAAAAGTGAGGACATTAAATACCTGAGGGAAAATATTATCAGGATTAAGGGTGAAACTGAAGGAACCTGTCATGAAATCTCTGGGGTCTCCATGTTTATTGCCTGCCTCCCTTCTTCCCTTCCTTCCTTTCCTTCCCTCCCTCCCTCCCTTCCTTCCCTCCCTTCCTCCCTTCCTCCTTCCCTTGTTTCTTCCCTCCCTTCCTTCCTCCCTTCCTTCCTTCTCCCTTCCTCCCTCCCTCCCTCCCTTCCTTCCTTCTTCCTTTCTTTCCTTCCTTCCTTCCTTCCTTCCTTCCTTCCTTCCTTCCTTCCTTCCTTCCTTCCTTCCCTCGCTCTCTCCCCTGACTGTGCCTTAGCTGTAGGGCTGGCAAGCCTCCAATGGGCTTTCTTAGGGAAGGGGCCAGGTAAGTGGAAAGCCCGGCACTTTCCATCCCTGTAGTCCTGATGTGCTGAGTATTCTGTAGGTTGGCCCAGATTGGCCATAGGCACAATGGAGGAACTTCTATAAATGTCTTAACTGTCTGCCGGTACCCTCTGCAGTCACGGAATGTCTAGCGGTCTCTTTGGTAGTTGACAAACATAGTTTCTTTTGAACAGTGAACTCTTGGCTCCTTGATGAGAAGCAAGCTCAAGGCCACAAGGGGTTAGGATGAAGTAACCTGTTGGTAAGGGCTGCCGAGGTCTAGGGTTCAGACAGAATTGCCATCAGTTTTGGAGGAGACGGGGAGACAGTAGCTGTCCACCATTGCCCTTTGACCTGCAGGCTAGCTTCCGCAGGCGTAACTCAGTCCTGGGACCAGCTCTCATCAAGTGTTTTCTAAACCTTGACTCTGTCCAGGAGGATGGGTGTTTTGAGCATCCTGATGGTTTCTTCTGTCTCTTTACAAGCTGGTAAGTTTCTTATTACCATTGGAGGACCTTGAACATGGACATCCATTCAGTTCCCATCAATCAGGCCCAAAAACCTTATTCCTGCTATTGCTCCACACATTTGGAATCTTTAAATGTCCTAAATCTCTTGGAGCAATAAACTAGCTTCTGGTATTTCTAACTTAGAACAGTGAAGAGAAACCAAAATACTAAAGTCTTTAGGTCACCTCTATTCTCTAAGAATCCTTTAAAGTATAAAGTATTCCTACCAAAAGTGCGCGTGTGTGTGTTGGGGGTGGGGAGGTACACGGATAAATGTAAACTTCACAAAGGAGTAACATCTAAGACTCCTCCTCTGAAAACATAATGTATTTTCTCTAAAGTGTGAACATTTGACACAGAGGTGTGAAGGTGTCTACAACGAACTTTATTTCCACCAGCGCAGCAGGTTAGCCAATGGCAAGCTTGAGCTCTGCCAACGTCAGAATCTGCCCATGGAGAATGCAGACAGAACCATTTAGGGTTCAGTTACCGAGCTGGTAAAGCAGCAGTTGTATCAATGAGTTCCCAGCCTGAAATGAAATCATTACACATGTATATTTACGAGTATTGGAAAAAAAAACTGATGCGATAGCTACAGATCACACTGAATGCTGAAGGCGTTTCCTCGAATGGGACAGGAGGGGAAGGCATTTAAAGTGCACATAACTGTAGAGGACCCTTCATGCCTCGGGCTGCTGGTTTGCACACGTGTGCGCCGCTGCTGGGGCCGTGCAGGCGCATGTGTAAATGATCAGGGGGAGGTGGTCTGTCTGTGACACTCTGAGCCCACAGAGGAAATCCATTAACGCCATCGTTTGCTCTTCCCCTGGCATCACTATGTAATCATTTATGTTCAGAACCAAACAAACCCTCTTTACTCTTTTAGCACTCGGGAGAGCCTGGCCTCCAACACGTCGAGCATTGTTGAGAGTAACCGTCGTCAGAACCCTACCTTGAGCCCGGCCCATGGCGGCGCCGGCCCGGCCTTCAACTTCCGAGCAAGCACGGACCCACCAACAAACGAAGCTGAGAAATTACAGAAACCTTCCAACTGCTTGCAGGCTTCCGTGACGAGTGTGTGACCGTCGTCCGGCCTCCGATCTCCGTCTCGTGCGACGCAGCCAAGTTTACGACACTGGGACTGATGTTTACATCTTCGGAAAGACAAGCATCTCAACCACAGTTTTGGTGTTTACTTAAACTGTGCTGCTAAGTAGGCTAGAGCAAAACACAAAAGTCTTTCTTTCAGAGTATTGCTTTTTCCCATGTATGGCTCTGTAGCAACAGAATAGCAGTAGGGGTGATATGTACACTTTTGCTTCACTAACTTGTAACTGAGCACACATAGGAAAGTCTAGACACTGTCAGTGTAATCTGCATTTCCAATGTCATGCCGTTGCCAACGCCATTTTCAAATGCCACAGGTGCGTGTTGCTCCCAGTCTGTGGGCAGATGGTGCCACAGAACTGCTTCTTGACACTTCCAAACAAACAAACAAAAACAACGAAGCCACCACAAAATGTCCAATGCCAGGGCCCGCGGGGAGGGAGATCATGCCAAACAGCCGAGGAGGGACCCAGCCCCCGGTGTGTGAATTGCTTAGGCACCCGTCATTTCCTCACTGTGAGTTTTCGTGGCGCGAGGTTGCAGGAGCCCGTGGAAGTGTGTCCAGGGGTCGGGATGGAGATCCTGGGAGTGCGTGTCGTCAGGATTTTGTTTTTCAGTGTCACAGATGCTTGTCCGAGTGTTAACCTTCCACAATCACCAACAGGAATATAGGCCTTTGGATCTGAAGTGGGTAGAAAGGCAGGGGCCCCAGGCCTGGCTGGGCTCAGCACTCCTGCTGGAAGAGGTAACGCAGACTCTACTCGTAGAAGAGGTGTGAGTCGGGATCTGTGAGGCTGGGAAAGGGATGATGAGCCTATCTTACGATAATAGATACGATAATTAGTTTGTTTAAAAGCAAAATGTTCTTTGTGATACAAATGAAGAGTATGGCCTGGGGATGTTATTCTTTCTAATGGAAGGACATAAATCTATTTTATGTAGTTTTAAATAGAATGCCTAAATTAGGCGGTGGAAGATAATTTTTAGTGGTTCTAGGAAAGAGCAGAGAGTTAGGGAGAGTTGAACTTCAGGCCTTTTATTCCTGGGAAGATATCTATAGAGAGAACTTTAAAAGTAGTTTTTGATCAGAGGTATACATGTGCCCATGTAATGAACAACGGAATGTGCTCATTCTGCAAATGTGGTATAATTCTAACTTGTACTCCCCCTAAAATTGACCAGAATAATCATTATGCATACATGAACTATGCCAGAGTGATGTTTACAGAGACTGTGTAACCGATTTCAGGAGGCACGTTTAGGTGGATGTGCGGCGATCAGCCCAACTTACTTTGAGATGGTTTATTCACATTTGGCTTTGGTTTACAATGTCACGTTGAATGCAGAGAAGCCGGGCGGCAGCAGAGGGATGACAAATAGTCAAGCTTCAGCCTTCCGGGAAAGAGATTTTCCCAGGGCCCTGCGATTTATTTTATGGGAACAATGGAATCAAGCTGTAGGTAATGGGAAAGTATTTGCAAAAGGGTTACAGATGATGCAAGTAAATGGTCTGACCAAAAAAAAAAAAAAAAGTTTATTTAGTTCCATGGCATGTGATGTTTGGAGCCATAAAATACATATCCAAAAATAAATCCCAGATCCAGCCAGCGGCATGGCGTTGGTGAAGCGCCCCTGCCCCGGGTTAGGCTGCATCGGCGGCCCGTTTAGGGAACGCAGGTGCACACGCGGCCGGACTGATTCTTGCAACATGTGGGCACTCCCTCGCGCTTCTTCAGATATTTGGAAGTTGCGTGGGGAACCGGACGCATCGGGGCAGTGTAGGTTCCCTGTCTGTGCTTAGGGTGAAACCTAAGTACGTGCCTCGGTCAGCTCCCACACCACGAAAAGGCTCCCGTCAGTCGGCGTGCCATGTCATGCCTTATTTCCTCCGAGGCATGCCCGGATGGCTCAGCAAGGCACGCTGTCTCCCCACTTAACTACGTCCAGAAGGAAGGATAGTGTCTCTAAGAGACTCCATTCCGAGTCCGTTTCCTTGGGGAGCTGTCTACCATACAGTAACTAAATTCTTCTGTCTAAATTCATCCTCCCCCACCCCAAACCCCTGCTCTCAAGTTTACCATACACTCAGTTCATAAATAACATGACCATTGAGACAGCCCACCAGCCTCCGGCTGACCCTCTGAACGTCGCCATCATCTGAGTCAGAGGCTGGATGACCCGGAAAAGAAAGCACGACCTTTGGAAGCTTTAAAATAGGAATTTATCACTATTTCGCAGGAAATCGGTTTACAGAAGTCATTGTTCCAATAAAATGTGTACACTTTCTGCCTGATGCCATGGGGTAATTAAAAAAACAAAAAACAGCTCCCTTAGACCAGCAGCCATGAGCGTAGACACGAGGGACTTTAAAGGTGATATGATGTCCCAGGTAGAGCAGCCCCGTCTGATCTCTCCGGGCTTCCCGAAGCGGGGAGGGAGGGGCAGGAAGCACATTGCAGATGTGACCCAGGATGGTCCACAGCGAGGCTCTCGGGTCCCAGCTTCGAGGACACCCTTGTCCTCCGGGGAAATGCTAGCTTAGTGTCCACGGCTGCGTATAGAGGCTTCACTTAAGAGCTTGTCATCCGAAAGGTTTACAGAATCGAATCCGGTTGAATCTCTGTGTAGCGTTCAACGTTAAAGGGTCAGCCCATCTGTTGGCATTTTGCACACTTATGTATTATTATGATGCAGCATATTACTTTATGGTAATTTTTATTTTTGCATATAACTACCTCCATAAATTTGATGAAGCGGCAGCCGTGCGTTGGTGTGTATCGGTCAGAAAAGCGGAGTCCAGGCCACGGCGTGGTGTGTGTGCGTGTGTGTGTGTGTGTGGGCGATCGCCTCTGTGGACTCATGACTTTCTCATCGCCATGGTTTCCTTTCACGGCATTATTTCACTTTCAGATGTAAGCCTGTCTCCTCCCCTCCCCACCACAGCGCACTTGGTTTTGTGATGAATGGGAGGAAGTTTAAATTTCTTGTCTTCCCCCCGCTCCCCCCCACCCCCGCATTCTTGCTAAAAGTTCCCCCTGGCAAAGAGCCAATTGGTAAACATAACGTAGCGATTTACTCCTATGAAAATCTGATGTAATCTCTAGGTTTTCAGTAACCGAAGACACACAAGAAATGCGGACTGCGACTAGGGAGCACTTTGGTCCTCTGCCTTCACCACATGCTGGCGTATCGAGCCCAAACGTCCCTCCCATGAGGAGAGCTGTGCCGTGTGCCCACAACTCCTGTTCCATAGGTTGTATTCCATTTTATATATTTGTACATCTCAGGGGACCTAATAAAGGGCGGGCACCAAATACAGAAAGCGGATTGGAGAGCTGAAAGGCGACTAGCTGGGTAAAGATGACAAAAAAAAATAAAAATAAAAATGACCACTTCTCTGACTTCGGGAAGCAGACATTTTTTTAAAAGGGAATCTGGGGTAACAATGAGCCAGACACCAGCTGTTCCCGAGTCTCCCTTTCCCACAAGCCGGCCAGCATTTCTAAAATGCAAATCTCAATTCTGTTGCAGTCACCTCGGGGAGGGAAAAAAAACCCTCTTCGATGACGCCGAAAGCATCGTTCCTTTTTTAGGCTGGCACGGCTTTCTCAAATTCCACCCAGGAAAACCACTTCTCACCACAAAGTGTACTTGAAAATAAGTTTCCAGTCCAAATCGTAGGCCTGTTGCCCACCCTGCAATCGTGGCGATGTTCTGGAACGGCTCCGTGTGGGCCGTGGGCCGTGGGCCGTATTTTGGAGCTTGATTAGAAACCAACCCCGACCTGTAGTGACTTTGCACATTCATGTCGGGGTCTCTCAGTGCTTCCCGAGCGTGCGGGTCCTCTGTGCCGTGCCCGTACTCGAAGCCAACACACGGAAGGAGTGACAGACGAGATGACCCAGGACACAGTGGCAGCTAGCGATGATCTCTGTTCTATCTGTTGGATAGACCATCCCGAGCAATCACCCAACACAGTGCGATTTTTTTTTCTGATGTGTGCTAATAAAGTCAAAGAGAAACGAATACAACTCTCCACCGTTGTCCACTTTCATTCAAAACGTTCAGGGCGCTGGGAATGTGACGCCTCCGTACACCTTCCGGGCAGCGACTTCTGAAGGGGGACGTCCATTCGGCCCATTCCGGTGCCACTGCGGTCAGCGGTAGGTAGACACATGCCCGTGTTGGCAGCTGCCTATTGGCTCCGTGATTCCTGTGCTAAAATGCCGTCTTTCAAGGAACACGGCTGCTCCGGGCTGGGGAGGTGCCGAGGCGGAAATTTCAGTGAAGAACTGTCTCAAGTTCTCAGGCTTCGTAGGCAACAGCAAGGCAGCCCTTATCGGGCCCGGCTCCAAAGAATCTGGGTTCCCCAGGGAGCTGGTCTGGTTGGCAGTGCCCTCACATTAGAAAGGGCACTGGATGAGGCCTTCTCTGTTGCCACGGGCCGGTCACAGGACCCGCTGGCCGCATTCTGGCGGTGCCAGTGGACCCCACAGAAGTGGCCCTTCCCTTCCCTCTCCCCAGGCCCCGCTCCCCCCAGCCTGTCCTGCCCGTTGTCTGGGGGGCCAGCTCTCATCAGTTCCTGAGTGACTCCCCCACACACCTTTAGGGCTCGGGGAAGCCAGAACCCAGGAAACACGAATGCAGAAGCCATGGAAACATTGTTTTGCTCTGGGTCAGTAAAATAGGGGCAGGAAAGAGATTACCATCGGTCTGATCTTTGCCAAGTCAGATAACCGAATCAGCTGCCACTCCATCACTCTCCCTTAAGGGTTGACAGTATTAAGGCTACATCCAATATTTCCCCATTTCATAGATTATATACACACACACACACACATAACTCATTATTAAACGTCCTGGTGTGTCTGAAACAGACATTGGCATCTCCCTGGTTGAGTTCCTCTCGGTGTCTCTGGCAGCAGCAGCCCAGAGATTCCCCGGCGATGGCTCCCCTAACACACACTCCTGTGTGTTCACAGTTGTGGTTTCTGTGACTTAGAGTTGCTGGTTTGCAAGGTTCAGCATTCTACAAGGCTCAAGGGGACTAAACCTCCATCTTATGATTGTATTATTACCTGTTTTCGGGCTTTCAATCGCTCCTATTGGCTTCAGATGCGAACACACACACACACACACACACACACACACACACACACCCTGCCAACGAGGGAAGGGGCTGCCACGCGAGGCAGTGATCCCTGGAAGCCCATGGAAGGCTAGAAGCTTGGCTGGCCCACGTACAGCTGCCTACCTCCCTGTCCAAAGGTTGACCTTGGCACCCCATCCCCTTGCTCCCACCAAAAAGAGGTACCAAATCTGAGATCTGAGAGCTCCAATTTCAGTCCTCTGCCGTTCTAGGAAATTTATCATGAACTACACACTCAGCAGCTCCTCGCCTTCCTGTCCCCCATGGTCCTCCCTGCCTCCTCCCTACCACCCCCTCGATCCCTGGAAGCCCATGGAAGGCTAGAAGCTTGGCTGGCCCACGTACAGCTGCCTACCTCCCTGTCCAAAGGTTGACCTTGGCACCCCATCCCCTTGCTCCCACCAAAAAGAGGTACCAAATCTGAGATCTGAGAGCTCCAATTTCAGTCCTCTGCCGTTCTAGGAAATTTACCATGAACTACACACTCAGCAGCTCCTCACCTTCCTGTCCCCCATGGTCCTCCCTACCTCCTCCCTACCACATACTAGAAAACAAACTGAAAAGGAAAAGAGGTGTTTTTATGGGGATTTTGCATTTAGGAGCCACCACCACCTAGATACCCATACACCGCCTCGGTTTCCACATTGGAAGGGCGAAGTCGTGTGTGGTATTGTGCGCACATGATGGTTAGCACCAGAGCTAACCCCGGGTCACCTTCCTGTAAGTACTGACAGCTACAAATTAAGGTCCTTAGAGTAGTTGACATAGATACGACTTTCTAGCAGAGAATCAAATTTCAACGTTCAGTTTAAAGGGATCATAATTCTGCAGGTATCCTTCTCTGAGTGACTGAATGTGACTATTGCATTAGGGGTAAATGAATTAAGAAGTGCAAGTGGGATTTACTGTATGTTAGAAAGAAGTTTTGCAGCCAAGACTGCCTTGAATAAAATGTGTTTGCACTGAAAAAAAAAAATTTTAAATTACTTGGTCTCTGGTTGCTGTAAAGGTCATCCAAGATGGATGTTCTGTTTATATTGTATAGTATTTCATATGAAATAATTACAGTTCATGAAATGTCTTCCCTAATGTTACTGATTTATAACAGCACATTTGTAACATGGTTTTTATCGTGTCAGTGTGCCATATTGTAAATGATGATTACTTGTCATGCTTAGTATAATAACTTAAAAGGAAAAGAAAGCACAGGGATTTTTGTAAGTCTATATTTGAAAGTCCCTCCATACGGTAATATTGTGTTCATGTTGTTTATGTAGTGTTGTGTGAAATATCCATTTTGGATTGTGTTACTTTTTAAGATATTAAATAACATTTGGTTATACGTCTAAGTGGATTTCTTTTTGGTGCCCGTGAAAGAATAGGTGAGATCAGTTTATTTCTCTGCTCCGTTAATATGGTTTCATGACAGATTTTTATTACACAATCGTGATGAGAGCTTTTGAAGTAAAACAGCTAAAAATGGAAATTTCTGGTCAAAACTTTTCTCCAGGAATGTTGAAAAACATCACATTTTTGACTATTCAAATGTAGAAGACTGAGACTTAGAGATGCATATAATTAAGTTTTCTATAGGAAATTATAAAGAAATGTGGATGTTGTTTTGTTAGCACTCAACTCCTATCCCCAAATAAATGTGACACCCCCCCCTCGCCCCCCGTCCTGTAAGCATTCGCAGATACTCGCATCCTGCGATGAGGTGCTTGCACAAGTTCGGAAAGCCTCCAGGCTTGATTGCGTTCAGAATCTGCTCTGTGCTCCTTTCTCTCTCCTCAGTGGTGGCTAATCTTTGTCCTGGGAGAATGGACTCCATTTTCTCAAACCAAAAGTGATCTGTTCAAACAATTAAGCTAGGACATAGCATTCCTTTTTAGCATTCTTTTCTTTAATGTTTTTATTGATATTTAGGGAGAGAGGCAGGGAGAGGGATGATAGAAACATCCGTAAGAGACACACATCATCCATCAGCTGCCTCCTGCACACCTCCTATTGGGGATCGAGCCCACAACCTGGGCACGGGCCCTGACCAGGTATTGAACTGGTGACTTCTTGGTTCCTGGGTCGACACTCAACCTCTGAGCCACGCCAGCCGGGGGAACCAGCATCTACACTAATAAAAGAGAAACATGCAAATTAACCATCACTCTGTCACTCCGCTACACCCACCAGCCAATCAGAGCAATTATGCAAATTAACTCAACAAAGATGGTGGTTCATTTGCATACGCAGGCGCGGAGCGAAGGCTGAAGACGACTGAAGATGGTGGCAGCCACGGAGCTGGACTCCGCTCAAGGAATGGCTGGGGGCCTGGGCTCCGCTCGAAGAGCTGGGGAAAAAAAAAAAGGAGGGGTTGGGAGCCACCGGAGTGGAGAAGGCAAGCCTCACTGCTGTGGCCAGACTGAAGGCCTGGGCCCTGGGTGCCAGAGGAAAGCCAGTGCCCACAGACAGTGGAAGGAAGGCCTATTGCACGAATCTTTGTGCAACGGGCCACTAGTTCTTAATAAAACACAATATGGCGCTGCAGAGTGGAGCCTGACTTTCTTGTAAAGGCAATGCCCAAGCAGGCTTACTGCTCTGGACAATGGCAGTCGTTGGGTTACGTGGGGAGACCCCAAGGCCACAACTTGGAAGGACAAGCCTTATTTTTAGTTCAAAGCATTTGTCTCTATATTTCAAACTGCCCCAGGACAGACATTCCATTTTTCAAGAGTGAAGTTAGGAAGAGCAAGAATACTGAGAGTGCATTGTGAGTTTTACGCCGGGACCAGAAGCTGCGGTGCTGAGGGAGGGGCTGGGTGTGCCTCTCGGCTCGTCCAGTCATCTTGACATGGAGGCAATGTGGCGGCTTAATGAGCAGAAGGAAGGCGGGACTCGGGCCCCTTTGGGAGAATGTCACAGTTCATAAGAATCTTTTCTTTCCAAAGGAAATGGTATGGTTTTAACCTATGTTTAAGTATGTAGAGTGGTGGGATTTTTCTTTCCTTCCATAAAGACACTCCAAGCAGAGTTCTCCATGTTTGCCCCAACCCTGTTCCAGCTATGAAATCAAGAGCCACTGAATAATAAAAAGAAGTTATTCACCTGACTTTAATAATTCATTTCACGGTGAAAGCTTATCCCTACTGTGGGAACACTTGGATTCAGTGACATTCCACCCCTTTGGGCTCAGGGCTCCAGACTTTTCCTGTAAAGTGAATAGTTAACCATGGGACACATGGGACACGTGTGTGATGAATATTCACAGAGCGCATTGCATGCATCACACAGGAGTTTCAAGAAAAATCAAGGCACCTGCTCTCGAGATAGGCTGGGGAGGGTTTCTGGTGAATCTTTAAAGAGTTGCGTTAGAAGTAGGATGTTAGGCGTGAGAGGGAGGTGTGGGTCTGGGGTGCAAGGGGTGAAATGGAACAGATGCTCAATGACGGGGCCGTCTCCCTCCTCAGTCAGAGCAAGGACTTGGGGGCTAGTGCCTGCGGCTCAGATGGAGGGAACGTCCTGCACCTTGAGCCAGCATGGGCTTGTCTGGGTGACCACTTACATGGGTGACCCCAAATCCCATCGAACACACTCCTCCCAGGTCACCTTCCTTCATGTCTTCTCTTTGTTGTAAAGTTCCATGCTTATTTTTTCTTTTCTATTACCTAGGTTGTATTTTACTTAACTCTTTTCTTACGTAAAACCAATAATTTGTGTTTGTTGTTATGCTATCTTGTCTATTAAATATTTGGACTCATTCCTGGCCTCCATTATATATATATAATTTATTAATATAGTAACATATTAATAATATAGGGATATATATATATATATATATATAATTGCTAGTGTTTTAAAATTCATATTTATATTACCTTTCCTTCTCTGTATCTACAGGC